ATATTGTTTTATGAGGCAAATCAAACACATTAGGCCAAGCAGTAAATGGATTGCTGTCGTGATACCGCACGCCCACCTTCGCAGGCGTCAGAGCTCACTATCCAAGCAGACACTCATTCATTCATTCACAGGAAGCGCGCCAGTTTGTGGTTATCATGCAGAACGTTGGCACTTGTGGGCCAAGAGATCGCTATCGCCATTATAATAATAACAGTCTGAGTCTTAACGAGAGCGCTCAGTAGCAGACCTCCAACCAAGGCCGAACAATAACACCAAAGGCTTGTGCAAGGAGATTCCTCCCTCCTCGTTTAGCACAAGGAATTGGCGGCGGACGGCCAGCGAGTTGCTTGTGAGCTAAATGTCCGAAAACAACGCAAAGCATGGCCATTACTAAGTAGTGGGAAACGTAGACATGGGAGGAGGGGCTTGGTTAGTAATAACAACAACAAGTACATATTATTAACCTCATAACATCATTGCCCAAGTCATACTTGAGCACTTTCGGGAAACAAGAAAGAACTTTTTTTTTTTTTTTTAGCAAGTACAACACAAGGATTCTTTAGTGATTTGGTAACAGGAAGTTAAAATTTGACTTGACAATTTTGCTATTAGGATAACGAGACAGAAGTCAACCTGGAGCGGCTGGGTCATGAAACCTATTTGGGGGAGAAAAATAAATACTTTCCATTACAACAAATTATATCCATTTAGAATTTCTAGAAGGGCTAAACGAATTTGAAAAGTAATCCAATTATGTCCCTCACTTCCTCCCCTCAAAATGATTACTTTTAGAGGTAGTCTTCTAGTGTGTTTTCTTAACAAACACAAGCAATAAATTAATCTGTATCAAACAGTGGTTCTCAACCTTTATTGAGCCAAGGCACATATTTACTACAAAAAAAAAAATTGCAGCACACCACTTGGCGAAACCATTCACCAAAAATGGATACACAGGTTCACTATGCACTTTCCATCATCTCGTGGTGAGATGCTTGTTAGAATACATGGTTGGCATGGATAAATTAACATTTTTTTTGGGGGGGTGGGGGAGGACATAAATCATTTTTCCAGCCAAATCAAACAATACGGCACACCAGATGATCTCTCACGGCGAAGGTAGAAAAATGCGCGTTCACGCCAGAGTTTGTTCAAAGTCGCAAAATTTTGCCGAACGTTCGCTAGACGTTAGCCAACAGTTTTAGTGGTTTTTTTTTCTCGTTGCAAGAAAAGTTGCAGGCAAACGTATGGCGAACATTCGCGATCTAGAATGACGAGAACGCAACATGCGCTGCCTTCAAAAACACGCGCAACTGTTCGCCGTTTAGTGGTATCGCTGCTGAGTTGCAGCCCATCCCAGCTGGTTTTGGGCGAGTGTACACCCTGGACTGGTCGCCGGCCAATTGCTAAGCACGTGTAGACAAACTGTCACTCACCCTCACGTTCGCACATTATTATAATACTTGCTAAGCGTCGATGCGAGAACTTTATTGACGTGTGCATCGCGAAACGTTCGTAACGCACTGAACCTGGTCAGTTTGCCTCCTGTGAGGGCTTCACACACAGGTACACTATTGTCGGTCTACACTTCAGCTTTGTGTATTTAAAAAGGAAAAAAAAAAAAACACACTTGAAGTCACCGTGAAGATTCTTTGTTCATCTGCCGTGTCTCCCGCCAGCCAGCGTTAGGGTGACAACATTTCAAAGACATGTTGCCGTTTATCGGAGGTGTCTGAAAACACGAGGACGTGTGCCGCGTATGATGGCGCCGCAGTTTGTTCTGTCACGGCTGTGGTGCTCCATAAAACAGAGAGGGATCTCGAAGGCTGGCTGACTGTCTGGCTGAGGAACAGCCTGAGAAAGCCTGACAGAGAGCCCAGAGATTCCCCGTGGCAGCTTTTTGCCACTTTGTCATAAACAAAACACAAGACGTCTTTCTCTTCTTCCCACACCAAGCGGGCTCGGGCGCTGCCAAACGGAACAATCACTATTGCAGCCTGCTCGCTCCTTTCCAACGCGCACTCTCGCGCTCTCCCGCTCGCCGTCTTCCACAATATAAACAAAAGAGATGAGCGGAGACTTTACCTCTGCGCGAGCAACAATGAGGGCCATGTTTAAGGAGACAAAACAACAGTGTGTACGGGATCAAACGGGAGCGGCAAAGGCGGACGCCAAAGCCCGACAAAATGCAAGGCAAACAAAAAACAAACAATGAGCACGTCGTGTCATTCATGGCGCGACTGAAACCCCCCCCCCCCCCAAAGAAAAAAAACACGAACGTGAGAGAAAAAACACGGGCCTTCAAGAGTGCTGGCTCACGGATACGCTTTGGCGACCTGACACTTAACTGGAGCCAAGCGTGATAAAACGGTTGACCTTCGGCCAGGCTCGAAGACAGCGGTTTGCCCTTTGTCTTTGCTTTCATCCCCCCCGCCTCTGGCTCTCTGCAGGCCCCAAATGTTCTCTCCAACTTAGGCTGCTCTGTCTGGAGGAAGGAAAAGTGCTGAGGCACACCGCCGTTAAGCAAACAGGAGAGAGAGCACACAGCGAGTGGACATTACGAATGAGCCGTGCACCGTGAACGACCCCCACTAGGCAGCCGTGTGCTGACCTCGCGTACTAAAAACGGACACGACTTGTTTATGTACACCTTATGTGCGCATGTATAGAAAAAAAAAAAAAGATCATTTCAAGTGCTTCTATGGAGCAGTGCATGCAAACACATATCAATTATCAAATATTGGGGTGAAAATAAATGTTCATCACAAGCAATTACAATTGTAAATCATGCGTTTGTTTTACATTATGATTAAAATCGTCACATTTAACAGCAGGAACTCGGATATGTTTTGAATCCATTTTTTGCAGTCATTCATAAATTTGAGCTGGTCGTTTTCAATGGAAAACAATATTTTAGTATTGCACACATTGTATAAGCTTTTTTTTTTTTGAGAAAAGTGATCAATAAATGCAGCTAATTGAAGGACAACAGCACAGATAATTCAATTGTGAAGAGTGGAATTTTACTCAAAATTTACTCAAAATGAAAAAAAAAAAAGAAATTCATCCTCATTAAAACTGGGCATTTGGACAAAAAAATTAAAAAGCGATTTCATCATGTGCCACAAATCGACCCACACAGAGCGAAGCTGCCAGAGTTGCGAGGTGTTGGCCTGTACTGAGATTGTGGCTTCATGCGAGTGTGTGTATACATGGAAGACAAGAGGATACCAAGAGGAGGCTGTGACAGCATAACTAGTCATTTGTGTGTGTGTTGTGTCTGTGAGATAGATGCTGGTCGACACTCATTTGAAATGCCGCCCCCCCCCCCCCCCCCAAAAAAAAAAAAAAAAAAAAAAAAAAATCCAGCTGAAATAATATTAGGTCACGAGCCGATGTGTTTTTAGAGGATTTGGCTGTGAAACGTGCTTCATGTGTGCATGCGCATGTGTGTGTTGGAAAAACACTACAACACAGCACAGTATTTTGACTGTGTGTAAAATGGCTGCATGGGAAGCTACGGCGAGCGATGTTTGGCTGAACGAACGCGCACGTCTGTGTGTGTGTGTGTGTGTGTGTGTGTGTGTGTGTGTGTGTGTGTGTGTGTGTGTGTGTGTGTGTGTCTATCCATCATGATGGCTGCGATACAACACACTTTGGCTATATGAAAATGTATCGAGGATGGTCTTTGGCTGGTATGTGTGCTGTGTGGGTGTGTGTATGCGACTAAAACCATGTTTGGACAAAAGTGTGAAAGTACGCTACAAAGATGAGTTGTTTGGCTATTCTTTTTCTCTCTTTTTTTTTTTTTTAGCTGTGTGTTTTTGTACGGGTGTGAAGGTGGCTGTGTGAGTACTGGCTGACTGTGTGTGTGTGTGTGTGTGTGTGTGTGTGTGTGTGTGTGTCTGTTTGGCAGGCAGGTCCAAGGCAGCGCAGGCGTTCAGGCAGACGGTGAAGGCGGCAGCAGCCTGCGGCCTGAGAGCAGGAGACTCGCAGCTCTCTTGTTCACACACACACACACACACACACACACACACACACACACACACACACACACACACACACACACACACACACACACACACACGCACGCACGCACGCACACACACACTTCTGGGTTGTGGCCAAATGACAATCCCTGGCTACAATAGCCTTATCACCACACATGCAATTTCATCAGAATTGGGAAAAAAAATGTTTGAAACAGCTAATCTCCGTTGTCTCACAAACATTTGCAGTGGTGATGATCATGTAAAAATACGCAAAAGTACATGCGCGCGTGCACACACACACACACACACACACACACACACACACACACACACACACACACACACACACACTCAAAATAAACTAGGTGTTTATATAAAGGCGCGAATGCTTCACTTGGAAAAAGCAGCATTGACTTGCCAGGGCATGTTGGACCAATGCCCTCTACACACACACACACACACACACACACACACACACACACACACACTCATTACTACTACATTTGGTTCTATGCTGCCATGTAAACAAATATGAAGCAACAAGGGAAGCGAGGGAAAAATATTACATGATTAAAATGTGAAATTATGTTCACGGGCTATTTCGATTACATTTCCATTATTTATTATGCAGTCATTAGATTATTTTAAGGCTGTTTAGAGATGTAATATCACACATTAGTATGAATGAAGAGGGCTTATTTATCTTTTTGAAACCCATTTCTTTTTGTTGTATTGTTCTGCAATAGAAAAATACAGGACATTTACGGGAAACTATGATGATGTTGTGTATTGTATGTGCGGCATTTCTAAGATATTCGAATGCTGGAAGTTTTCGTTTTTAAGGATGCTCAAGGCCTGAATATTGGAAGGCTCCGTGGACACCATGCTGAAGGTTTTCTAGCACATGCTCACTGGCATGTTTATGTGATTTTAGGAGAAGATGCCCCTATTTAGGTTTTCAGCGTTTGTCCGCCCTGCCATCCCACGAGAGTTGCGGGTTGCCCCACATACCTGGCGTGTGGACGAAGTAGGCCAGGTAGAGGTCCAGCTCCTTGACGGACACCCCGATGTGGTGCGGCTGGACGCACAGGCCCGGGTTGGTGCACTGCGGCGACTTGACCAGGCGCTCCCCGTCCGTGCTCTCCAGGGGGCTGCCTTTGAACAGGATGACCATGACCAGGTCCAGCCGCCACACCTTGTCGGCCTGGCGCAGGCAGTCGATGCGGCGCATCTTGCCCTTCTGGTCGGGGTTGGACAGCACGCAGCAGGGGGGCTTCTTCCCCGTGATGGTGAGCACAAAGTCCTCACGGAACTCGGGCCGGATGTCCTTGCGGAGCTTGGCCAGCAGGCGCGAGGCCCACTTCTGTTTGATCTCGGGCTTCTCCCCCAGCAGCTCGTCCTTCACGGCGCGCTCTTCCTCTTTGGACATGCGCTTCTCGTGCTTCTTGAAGTACTTGCGCTTGCGGGCCTGCAGGTTGAACCAGGTGTAGGCGAAGGCGCGGACGTGGGGCAGCAGGGCCTCGATGAAGGGGTGGAATTCATCCTGGATGAGGGAGGAGGACGGGGGGAGGGCGGAGGAGGAAAGGGAGGATGGAGGGAAGCAGGACGAGGAGGGGGAGAACGGGGGAGAGAAGGACGGGGAGAGGGGGAGTGGGGGGGAGGACGGGAAGAGAGAGGTGAGGCAGTTAGCACCGGCGCGCAGCATGGAGGAGCGGCGCCTGCTCCGTGCGAGCGGAGCGAGGGAATGAACGAGAGGCGCCGAAATAGAGAGAGAGTGAGAGTGTGTGTGTGAAAGAGAGAGAGAGAGAGAAAGAGAGAGAGTGCCTGACACTCTCTCCCCAAACAGACATCACATTGACAGAAATACTTTCAGCATAACACTTTAAGACAGGTGATAAGTAATTCATTAGCTCATCTTGGCTGAATTTCAAACAGTTATTGTATACATCAAAAAGAAAACAATTGTAACGGAATCTTTTTTAGCCCTCATATTGAAAAAAATATTTTCACAATTAATATCCAATTAACAAAGCACACACACACACACTATATATATATATATATATATATATATACACACACACACACACACACACACACACACACAGCAAAATAAAATGGTAGTTACCATTTTTCTCTTTCATCATAAATTGACCCGGCAGATTGCAAAAAAAAAAAAAAAGTTTTGTCAATCTGCACCGGAGAAATGGGCAAATATTTTGAAAAATGTAAAGTAGAATGAGGGACTCGAACTGTCCAGTGAAAGCAGCCAAAGGTTAAAAAAAAAAAAAAAAAAAAAAAGCCGAGGGGCAAGGTGTAATACCAGCAAAGGAACACAGGAGGTAGTGTAGCAGGAGCAGGAGAGTTGTTGTTCAAGAGCACAGCAGAAGGAGAATGGAAAGAAGTTCAGGAACTTCTGTCAAAAAAAAGCTACCAGGATAAATGCAAGCAAATAAGTGCATCAAGTGGATCAAATTGTCAAAAATGTCGAAAAATATCTTGACGGGGTAAAAAAAAAAAAAAAAGCAACTCTTGGCAAAGTGGGTAGAGTTCAGTCGAATCGAAGAGAGAGAGGCGACGAGAGAGCTGGACAGGGGAGTGAGCACAAAGGAGGTTTAAAAAAAAAAAAAGCAAAACAAGAGGACGGAATCAATGTTGGAAGAGTGCGCGCGACCGCTGGCAAACCCGAGTGCCGCTTCTTTTTTCGCCCTCTTTGCCTTCTCTCTCTTCCTCCTCACTTTGCTTCTGCACCCATTGACTGAAAGTGTGCCAACATGCGCAGGGACCACCTATTTGGCACCCAGTCACGGGCCGCCCAGCCAATACGCGCGCTCGCAGCGCCGAGGAGGGAGGGAAGAGCGATGGCAGGGGCAGAGGCAATGAGGCAGGGGCGGGTTGGGGGTGTACGCTCGGTGGCTGGCAGAGAGAGCGAGTGAGGGAGAGAGAGTGCGTCATTAGCCAAATAGTCGAGTTCCAATCTAGTGCAAAAAGGCAAAGTCCAGAGGATATAACAATTTTACATGCGTCCAATCTAGACACCACCTGCCGACTGAACCCCCTCACCTCCCCCCGCCGCCGCCGCCATCCCCATCACGACCCCCAACCCCCCCCCCCCCCCCAAAACCCCCCCCCCCCCCCGCCACACTAACCGCTCGCATTACAGCACCTTGGCATGGCATGGCATGAGAAAACACAGGCCCAAAAATCCCACTAGACCCTGAGACCAGCAGCTGCTCCCGGATTTGCCACACAAACAAGGAGGCGAGGAGATGGAGGGGCGGAAGGGGGGGTGAAAATGCCTGTCACCCCCACCCCACATACAAACACACACATGGTTCCCAACAAAAAAAAAATACCATCCACAAACACGCTCTCCTGTTTCAAAATACGACAAAGCAGGTCTCTAAAAATTATGACGGAAGTGGAATGCGTGCACAATGAATTGGCGCAGTTGATGGTGAGCAATGGTGCAAGCTAACTGAAATGCCTCATTGTGCGTCCCATGCGGCGCTTGAATGTTATCATGTAGTGGGCCTTCACATTAGAGATGCTTGTAATCGGACCGCATTTTTATTTCCAAGAATTATGACGATGACTGAGGAAACGGTCAGAACAAACAAGAAGCAGCTCATAACCAAATTCGTGGCAATCAATACGTTTCACGCTCGCGGGCTGACCCATATAACTGCGGCCACAAGGGCAGAATTTTATAATACTACAAGTCATTGAATTAAATGTTATAATTATGAATTATAATTGCAGTTATGAAAATAAAGTTCAACTGTGACATGAATGAAGTGGTCATTTTTAGAAAAAAGTTCATTTCAAGAGATTAAAGTTGTGATGTGACAAGCATTATGAACCCCCACCATTATTTACAAGAATAAAGTCACAACGTTACGAGCATAATGTTGAAATATTACAAGGAAAAAAGGCAATTTTGAAGCTGCAAGTTGCAATATACAAGAAAATATTTACAATACGTTTCAATATTGCAATAGTAGCCCTCATTACATGAGTCAAGTTTTCGTATGAGAAAAAAGTTAGCAGAATTGCGACATTTTGAGGGAAAAAAAAGTTGCAAATAAACATGCTAATCTCAAGAATTTTGTTCAGGACTTTGTTCTCATGACACTCCAACTTTACTTCTCATAACTTTTCTCCTCAAAAAAATTTTTTTTCTTTCATTTTAAAGCATCCTCCATTGTACAAATGCCCTAGCAGAGACTGGAACGTTTAGCAATGTTTCTACCTCCAATGTTATTACTCAACGAGGGATTACAGAGACATGACTCGGAATCTCGGCAAGAGGACCAGCTAACTTGTCAGGCGGCAAACTTGAGGGCCTAGGCATTTCATAGTGGGGCCAAGCTGTCTGCCGTGCAATGGGACCGACCGCCTGTGTGTTTGTGCGTGAACACCTTACAAAAGGCCAGAGTCCTTTACTTGGCGCACGCCATCATCGCCACTAGCCTGGCCTGCTCCCTCTGTGAATGTCTGGACGACGAAAGGCTCCAGTCCGCTGACTGGCTGGCTGGGGCCATGACTGCTTGGCTAAGTGGGTTGCTAGTGAGCTGGCAGGACCACATAGCTGACTGGGGAAGGTGCCTACCCCATCTGGACCGGACTGAGCAGGCATGGGTGACGATTCTTCCGAATAACATATGTACAGTGGATATAAAAAGTCGTACACACCCCTGTTCAAATGTCAGGTTTAGGGGGAATAAAAATATGAGATGAAATTAATCATTAAAAAAAAAAAAATCCACCATTAATGTGACCTATGACCATTGAATTTTGAAATATCTGAGTTCAGCAGTAAAATCCATCGGTTTTCTGTCCATCTCATTTTGCCAATTGCTGTTGACTAAAAATGATATCAAAGTTGCTGCGAGCTCAGGTAACAACCAATTATGGCTCAGCTTCAGAAAACAGGTCATAACATCTCAAACACACACAGCTAGCTAGCGAGCCAGATCGCTAGCTCGCTAGATAGCTCGCTAGATAGCTCGCTCGCTAGATAGATAGATAGATAGATAGATAGATAGATAGATAGATAGATAGATAGATAGATAGATAGATAGATAGATAATAGATAGATAGATAGATAAAATATTTGGACAATTTCAAATTCCACCACCCATTCAGGCTTCCTGTGTTTACCCAGGTGGTAGTTGTCTGGAGCCTAGTGTGGATCAGTAGCTTGGCATTAACACGAGGGCTCCTCTTATCTGTGCATGCCATGCTCTGTGTTTCACTCAACGTTGACCTTTGTTCCGCCGGCCAGCCAAGACAAGCCCCCCCCCACCCCCACCCCGACGGGGTCCACCTCCCGAGTGAGAGCCGAGCCGAGGCTTGAAAGGCAGTGAAAAAGCAACTGGGAGCTCTCAAAAGTAACACAGAGAGGAATATTGAAAGACAGCGTTATTCCTTCTACTTTATAAAACAAATTGCACCAGTAATTTGACAAATTAATTAGTAACACCAGTGTTTGGTGTCAACAGAGGTAGTGTGGTAAAGTCAGGTCTAAACGGGGCCTTGCCATGAACTACAGGGAGACCTGTCAAATGAACATTTAGAAATTCAAGTTTGCCAAATGAGCACACACTCCATTGAAGGTAACATTTGAAAACAAACGTGTTCACTGCAGCGTTGATGTGTCCCTCATTCAATGACACCACTTTACGATGAAATCGTTACTAATAAAAACGGTGTAAAAAGTAAATAAATACATAAATACGTCATAATCCCCCCTCGCGTTTGCTGTTCGATTTACTCAACGTGAAGTAGCGCTGGCGGTGTTTGCACTGACCTGCAGGCACACAACGTGCCTAACGGCTGCTCGCCCCGATCAACGTTCGGCTCTTCATTAACTAAAATAATAACAAAATGTGTCATTTAAAACGGGTATTAAAGCAGAGAGAGAGAGAGAGAGAGAGAGAGAGAGAGAGAGAGAGAGAGAGAGAGAGAGAGAGAGAGAGAGAGAGAGAGAGAGAGAGAGAGAGAGAGAGAGAGAGAGAGAGAGAGAGAGAGAGAGAGAAACCCCTACTAGAAAGCTTGTTGAAAAGACGTCAAAACAAGACTGTATGAAGCAAATTTACCCATCAAGTCATGTAAAAAGAAAGACAAAAAAAGGATTGCTGCCAGTTTGTCCCGGTAGTACCAAGCATCACATTGTTGACTATACGTTACTAGCACATTCAACACCAAATAGCAGATGAGAGAAAACAAATGGCTGTTCATTATTCCATACAGAGCTCAGTGTTTTAATTGCCAAACACGTGTTTAACTTATATGAGCATATTAAAAAAGCAAGCTGACCAAATATAGCATGCTGTTTTCTTTTTTTCTTGAAGGTGCTCTCACATTTTTGGGACAAGAACAGCAGCAGCTCTCTTAAAATCCAAATTGGACTTCACTAATTTTGTACATGGCACCATCCATGCTCGCACTGCCACTTTACCCACAAACACAGCTTTCTCTGGGGTGCGGAACACTGAGCGCACAATGGAGTCTGATGCTAACGTAACACAAAAACTGCTTTGCTATGCTTTTGTTATAGTGTTTGAAGTGTTCATAGTGGTTGAAATATACAAGACTAAATATATATTCATACCTTCATTAATATCTCCAGTAGTAATTTCAGTCAAGAGTATGGCAGTGAGGTTTTTTGTGGGCGTGTGTGCATGTGTATCCATGCGCGTTGTCATGTGGAACGGGACATAGTGGTCCCTGACCTTTTTTCTGTCACGGACTGGTTCATGCTATGACATTTTGTGATCTGGCAACAATACATTACATTCCTGCCATGGTGATCACATAAAATTGGAGTTGACACACACAGCATATGCTTTTTTTTTTTTTTTTTTTTAATAGAACTCTGATCGAGATCAAAGTTTGATAAACACGGCCGCACGCATGCGCCGCACACAGAAAGAGAGCCGATGAAGCTTTCTGCATGTCAGGACATGTGATGTGTGGAATTCATCCCTGACATCTGCTGCACAAAATCACATCCAGTATTGACAAGTGTGTGTGGTGATATCGGGGAAGCACTGTGAGGCTTTCCCGACTTTCTGGAATGCGGGCACAAAAGGTCTTGTGTGTTTTTTTTTAATGCAGATTTTAAACTCTCAGTGCTCCTACTTTCACATAAAACAGGCAGCATGGATCACTGGAAAATGGCACAAATGTATTCCTACTCCAGCTTTTACTGGTGAAAAGGGGGGAAGGAGGGGCTGTAGCTGGAGCAAAGTTTCCATGTTGTCTTCCCGAGAGGAGAGCAAGGAAAGTAAGGTGTGCTTGGAGGAGCCCAGTGGGTGAAATGGCGAGTAGAATTTGGGGAGCTTGTTATGAAATCATCACACACAAAGTTGATACGACGCTGTTCTTTGGAAACTGTCTTGAATTGTTTTTGTTTTTTTTTAATTCAGGACCACACACATTTGTTCTCTTCCTTTCACTTACACTTCCTTCCCGCTGCCACCAATTCCTGTCATTCCCCCGCACGGAATTCGAGGTAAAATTTGCTCCTCATCTTCCTCCCATCCCATCAGTGCAAATTGATGTTCGGAGTGTGTCCGCGCATCGTTTGTAATTAGGCGTCTTTAAACACTGAAGCGTTAGTACGTGTGAAAGTCTGGAAGCCATTTATGGCATGAGGCGACGGGCAGGAAGACTTTATACAGCTCCGGAGAAAGCCAGAACTGTTAGCGAGCCGCGGCATCTGCCCACTGCACGGCCGAGCGATGGAATATTCCACATTTGTGCGCAAAGACAAATGCACATCAAAGATGTGCTTTGCCATTTTTCATACACCCAGATTTATTCCGCTAGGATTTTTCATGAGGCTGGTGTGGTTTTTC